TATGTGTGTACAAATGGTTCACTTCATCTCTCTTATCGATTGTAATTTGTTCCAAAGCAGTCCTTGTACTTTCAAGGCATGTGATGTTGTAATGGTGATTTACAACCATACGGACAATGAAAAATGCAAGGTATTACAGGGCTTAAACAAAAAAATAACAAATCTACATATCAGATGCATCATCAGTAGCGTCTTCTTAAGAGTAATCTGTACTGTCAGCACGAGACACTGATTCACTGTCTTCATCCATTGCCTTATCAAACTTGTCTTTGTCCTCTACCAATTTCACGTCGGTGAGCCAATCAATGTTCTTCTTCATAGCACTGACTTGCCTTTCCAAAGTTGACAACCGTCTCTCCACTTCATTCAGCCTCTCGTAGATGACTTCCAACTATTGCAATACAGGATTGACATAACCCTGAACAATAGATTCAATCTAGTTCGAATCACACATTTTTGTTTGTATATGTCTATGGTTTATTTTACTTATTAGCTTTTTTTTTGAAAATGTACAGATTCATAATATTACAAAAACTAGTATGTACATACTTATAAGATATGATACATCAGTTGTATCTTTTCAGAAGACCTCATGCATTGTTTATCTGAAATTCAAAAACTAGTATGTACGTGTTTATAGTATGTACGTATCTTTTTTTGCTTTGTTTATCTGAAATTCAGTTTGTGTAAACTTTATAGGTAAATGGAAAATGCATAATTTGTTTCCATATATCATAATAATTATTTTCAAATATCACCTACATATCTTATAAATATGTACATACTAGTTTTTGTAATATTATGAATCTGTACATTTTCAAAAAAAGCTAATAAGTAAAATAAACCATAGACATATACAAACAAAAATGTGTGATTCGAAGAAGATTGAATCTATTGTTCAGGGTTATGTCAATCCTGTATTGCCACCGTTGGAAGTTATCTACGAGAGACTGAATGAAGTGGAGAGACGGTTGTCAACTTTGGAGAGGCAAGTCAGTGCAATGAAGAAGAACGTTGATTGGCTCACTGATGTGAAATTGGTGGAGGACGAAGACAAGTTTGATAAGGCAATGGGTGAAGACAGTGAATCAGAGTTCCGTGATGACAGTACGGATTACTCTTAAGAAGACGCTATTGATGATGCATCTGATATGTAGATTTGTTATTTTTTTGTTTAAGCCCTGTAATACCTTGCATTTTTCATTGTTCGTATGGTTGTAAATCACCATTACAACATCACATGCCTTGAAAGTATAAGGACTGCTTTGGAACAAATTACAATCGATAACAGAGATGAAGCAAACCATTTGTACACACATGTGGTAATGGCTGATATATAAATTAAATATGTAGAGTATTGATTTTTTATCTAATATTCAGTTTTGAATTATTTATATATATATGTTGTGTATAGATATAAAAAATGTAAATTACATTATATATATTTTGTACTAAGTAATTTTATGTTAAATAAAACATGAAATATAAATGAATAGGAAGCCATCAATAAGATAGACAACAAATACAAAATATGAAATTAAATGATATTTGATCCATGCGATGCACATAATTAAGCACATTTTGTCTTATTTATTTATTCATTCATTTATTTTTGCAAGATAATTAAGTAGATTATGTTGTAATTAAAATTATTTTTTTGCAAATATCATAATAATTAAATTAAAATATGAAGTACATAGAAGAAATCTGAAAATGACAAAACTAACTAGACGATGAATTTTTTTTAAAAAAGAAGTATTTATCAAACCGAGCCTATATGAAATTGATTATTATATTTGAAATTTAGTTTGTGTAGAACTTTATAGGTAAATGGAAAATGCATAATTTGTTTCTATGTATCACAATAATTATTTTCAAATACCACCTACATAGAATAAATTTTAAAATGACAAGACTATATACATGATAAAAAATATATGAAAAATAAGTATTTATCAAATAGAGTACATATAAAATGGAATATTAAAATTGAAGTTGCGTTTTGGTTGAATTTTATAGGTAAATGGACAAAGCATGATGATGTGACATTTTTATTTTGGGGAGAAAGAGCCGTTAAGAACTGTACTAAACGACCCTGTTCTCGAAACTCAACATAAGTGTCTAGTACCTTGAGGTTAGATGGTTCCATGAGAGCCAATTGATCCCAGAGTCTCAGTATAGAAATCTTGAATAGTCTGATCTCGTTGACGAGCACTCTGAATAGCTGTTTCCAACTCATACAGCTTGGCAAAGTTGGACTGCTGATAAACACCCAGTAAATAATCCCACACCTCCTTGGCAGTGCTGTATTTAGAAAACATCATTCCAATACGGTCATCAACATAATTATGAAACCAGGTCAGAACTTGGGCATTATCACAATCCCAAGTATCATAGGAAGTCAGATATCCTTCCGCCTTTGAGTTCAATGGCCGAGGAACAGAACCAGAAACATATCTCCATTTTTTCTGACCAAGAAGAAAGTTCTTCATAACACCGGCCCAGTAGGCATAATTGTTACCAGTGAGTTTGCACTTGATAGCTTGGGTTTTAGTGTCCAACATTATAATGAAACAAGGGTTATAGAATTATAATATTCATAAGGTGTTGGGTCAAAAAATAATAAATCTAAAACAAATTTTGATTTTATTAACCACAAACCAAACCAGGCTACACGAGAGAGAGAGATACAGTGGTCACGAAGATGTAATCCGAGATGAGACGAAGCAGAGATGAGACGAGGCGAAGCAAATATGATTGAGGGAGACAACGACGATGCGACATTAAATTCCTATTGTGTCATCCCTTTCCAAGAGCCTGCTTCTAGATCATCAACCATCGACCATCAACAGAAGAATGCATAGTCAAATTTTCTTTTATGTATCTCACTCTAGTCCTCTAAATTGTAGGCTGGAACTGGAATAGCAGAACTTATAGCTCTTGAGATTTCAAAACAGGTAATCATTTACTTCCATGTGGACGTTGTCTTCGGGTTATTTCGTAAAGTACATCTAGAGCAACCCTCCAAGTGGTTGCTTGGTGATTGTCTTCTTATGTTCATCTGTTATAGACCAAAGCTCCTTTAGAAGAGATGCGTAAGAAGATCTGGCTTGTGGACTCAAAGGTAGTGAAGGTTCCTTGCTAAATGATGGATATTTTAGTCAATCATGACTGTTCATATTTTTATTTTGTTTCCATTTTTACCTTTTTCGGCACTTGTGTCTTGCATTAATCATAGCATGTGATTTCTGTTGCAGGGATTAATTGTTAGTTCTTGTAAGAATTGCCTTCAACACTTCAAGAAACCTTGGGCTCCCGAACATGAACCCGTTAAGGATCTTTTAGATGCTGTCAAGGTTTGATGCATTCCCTTTGTGTCTATATTTTATTATAAGAAGATAGTTCTAAGTGATTGTTGGACTCTATTTTCATTTTCAAATGTCATCAGGCTATCAAGCCAACAGTTCTAATTGGTTCATCTGGAGTGGAAAGAACATTCACAAAAGAGGAGATCGAGGCCATGGCGTCCTTCAATGACGTACTCTCTCTCTCTCTCTATACAAAATTTTCTCGCAAGACTTTAAATGAATAGCATGCAGAACCCTCTCATTATGGCTCTCTCCAACCCAACCTCGCAATCTGAGTGCACAGATGAAGAAGCTTACACTTGGAGTCAGGTAAAAATAAATTATGTGTTTTTTCTTATCCTATAATTTGATGCTTTAATGCAAAGTAATGTCTGATTGGATTTAAATACAAAACTAATAAATTTCTTTGTTCTAAAAAAAGGGACATGCAATTTTTGCCAGTGGAAGTCCAGTTGACCCCATGGAATACAACAGCAAAGTCTTTGTACCTGGCCAGGTTCAGGTAAATATAAATTATGTATTTTTTCTTATCCTATAATTTGATGCTTTAATGCAAAGTAATGTCTGATTGGATTTAAATACAAAACTAATAAATTTCTCTGTTCTGAAAAAAGGGACATGCAATTTTTGCCAGTGGAAGTCCATTTGACCCTATGGAATACAACGGCAAAGTCTTTGTACCTGGCCAGGGTCTATTACTTTGTACTTCTAGTTTTCTGGTGTAAAATCCTTAATACATCTGAGATGCATACTAAAAACTGATTTTGATGGCCTTTTCTTCTTTCTTTTTTCTTTTGTGATCCATTCAGGCAAATAATGCATATATTTTCCCTGGATTCAGTTTGGGTTTGGTCATCTCTGGTGCAATTCGTGTACATGATGAAATGCTTCTGGCAGCCTGTAAGTACACTACATATAACATAATTAGATATATTATAAGTTGAATACAATTTACTTGCTAATTGAAGAGAAAGGAATTCTGTCCTTTATTTTATTTCATTTTACTTTGCTTTATTTTTTTTTTTCCATTTCCTCTGGTCACATATCTATATAGGGCATAAATAATGAATAAACTCTTAAAAGTTTTGAGATGTTTACTCAGATTCCAATAGAATGTAAACTAAATGACACCTTGTGTTTGTTTTATTCCCTTGATGTGTGATCTGGTTTTGTTAGGGCGATTTGGCTCAATGGTAAGGCTTGCCATTACCATCCCTAGTAGCACAGGTTTGAGTCATAGGCACAGTCTCTTCAAAAATGAAAGAAAGACTATGTACATCTTATCCTTTCTAGATCCCTGTATTAGCAGAGGCGTCATACACTAGGCTGCCCATAATCATGTGCGAAGCACAATGGAAAACTTTTGGCAAAACCTATTTAATTGAAGTTACTTCTATGCAAATGGGCACGACAAATAGCTAGAATGGTTCATCTTTGTATCTAAACCATCTACTCTCCTTTGTAACAACAGAGGCTTTGGTTGGGAAAGTAACAAAAGAGAACTTTGATAAGGGTTTGATCTATCCACCATTCTCTAATATCAGAAAGATCTCGGCCCACATTTGCTGCTGATGTAGTTGCTAAAGAATATGAACTTGGTGAGTTAGTGAGTGTACCTTTGGAAGTCCATTTGGTTCATCTAGAGTGGGAAGAACATTCACAAAAGAGGTGATTGAGGTCATGGCCTCCTTCAATGAGGTACTCTCTCTCTCTCTCTCCAAAATTTTATAATAAGACTCTAAATGAATGGCATGCAGAAACCTCTCATTATGGCTCTCTCCAACCCAACCTCGCAATCTGAGTGCACAGTTGAAGAAGCTTACACTTGGAGTCAAGTAAAAATAAATCTTGCATTTTTTCTTATCCTATAATTTGATGCTTTAATGCAAAGTAATGTCTGATTGGATTTAAATACAAAACTAATAAATTTCT